TCAATCAGATGACATGGGAATACGAGGTCAGGAATGACGACTTGATCCAGTGTTACAAAGCGGTCATTAAATTAGCCGATTCATTTGAAAGCTTTCACATTAAGCACATATTGCTTTCCAAGAACACGCATGCGGATGCATTAGCATCGCTGGTGACCAATCTGACTCAACCACTAGGTACAAGTCAACATATCACTATCGCACGTCGCCCACTCTTTCAACCGGTGTATATTATAGAAGTGAATGTAACTCACCGAACTATAGGCCAACTTGAACCACAAGATTGGTGTTTCCCAATCATCGATTATGTCTTATATGGCATACTCCCCGAAGATGTCAAAGAGCGAGAGTCTGTTCGCATATGCGCGCTAAGATTTTACTACAACTCGACGACGAAAATGTTGTATCATAGGTCGTACGATGACATGCTACTATGGTGTTTGTCAACAAGAGAAGTGTAGGAAACCTGTAGGAAGCCCATGATGGTACCTACGGAGCTCACCAATCCGGACCTATGCTCTGGGATCGCTTGCGAAGAATAGGATATTATTGGCCCAGTATGATCAACGATGTGGTAGCTTATGCCAAGCATTGCCATACGTGTCAGATTCACGCTAATTACATGCTACTACGGTGTTTGTCAACAAGAGAAGTGTAGGAAACCTGTAGGAAGCCCATGATGGTACCTACGGAGCTCACCAATCCGAACCTATGCTCTAGGATCGCTTGCGAAGAATAGGATATTATTGGCCCAGGATGATCAACGACGTGGTAGCTTATGCCAAGCATTGCCATACGTGTCAGATTCACGCTAATTACATGCATCAACCACACAAAGACCTGCATCTGATAGCAACTTTGTGGCTGTTTGAGACATGGGTGATGTATATCGTCAGACCAATATCTCCGCCATCGGCAAAAGGTCATCACTTTATTCTAGCGATCACCGACTACTTCTCTAAATAGGCCAAAGCTATTCTCTTGAGAGAATCCAAAACTAGTAATGTGATCAAGTTCATAAAACATCACATCATCTACAGATACGACATTCCCAGACATATCACTCACGACAACGAGTTGTAATTCGTTAGTCATGCATTCACTCGGTTCTGTGACAAGTTCAAAATACAAAGCATGGCGTCCACTACTTACAACCCGTCAGCAAATAGACTAGCTAAACTGCTAAAGCTTTCAACAAGATGATCGTTAAAATATTAATGAAGCTGACATCTGCTAGCAAACGCGATTGGGATGAAAAGCTCGATGAAAGCTTATGGGCGTACCGCACCACGGTCCACACCTTAACTGGAGCCACACCCTATTCATTAGTATACGGTTGTGAGGCTGTATTACCTCTGGAAATCTAGATTCTATCCCTATGCATCGCACTTGTGACATGGATGACTATTGAAGAAAGTCATCAACAATGTCTCACAGAATTGAAGACATCAGATAAAAAGCAGCTTGAAGCTCAACAATATATTGAGTTCTATCAAGCCCGAATATCCAGGGCTTTTGATAAGAAAGTCAAACACAGATCTTTCAAGGAAGGAGAGTTAGTCCTCACTGTTCGATGACCGATAATACTCAACTCTAAAAAGAAAAGAAAATTCTAACCTAAATGGGAAGAACCATTCGTAATAGAGATGGTCTATTCGAATTGATCTTATTGCCTCATCAAACCGAATAGTGATAAGATCATGATGCCTATTAACGATAAATTTCTGAAGAAGTACTACTCGTAGGCCTCCTTCAACTCTAGCAAGGCCAATTAAGGTAACAAACACTCCTTAATGACCTCCAAAAGTCTCCCACCAATCCTCATTAATAGGATGATGGGCCCACATAAAGCTATCACGTTAACAATTACCTTTGAATAGCAAATTTCTTCCAAATTCTCACACTAATTGTTGGGTGTAAAATTTGATATCCTGAAATGGGGACTTCGTTTGTATTGATAAGAATAGCTTATTACAAACTAATGAATCAAAGTCATAACAGAAGCGAGGGAATGCCCTCCTTGTTTAACGTAGGGTCTTTGGTAGCGATAGGATGCCTCCCTCAGTGCTAGAATCAAGTTGGCTTCCCTTGGATGATCTGAGCAAAGTTGCAGGTGAGTTTTAGTGCACAGTAGAAGCTCGTGTTGATCGAGTTCGAGTTCACGAGCTTAAAGGCTATCAAGGCTGAAAGCTGGAAGAAGATGCTACAGTGCAAGAGCAATGCAAAGAGCGGGTCGCTAACTCAACTAAGAAGAGACCTAACCAACCAAAAGTGAACCCCTTTCACATAGCCAGGAGGGGCTCCTAAATAAGGAAGAGACAGCATGGTCACTCCCTTGAATCATGGGATGTGACCATGTACTGTTGAGAGATGTCATGCCTCTCACTCGTGTTGTGGGAGGCTACTTGATGGGTGTAGAGTATTGTACTCCCTCCTCATGTTATGGGAAATGGTAATGCCCATCCATGTATGTGACAGTATCGTCGCCTAGTGCTCTGGCGAGCTTGGCGAGTTTGTAGGCGAACCGCTGATTGCTTGGACTTGCAGGCGAGCTGTATTCATGCTGGCGAACTTGGCGCTTAAGTAGACTTGACTCGTGCTGGCGAGTCAAGCATGTAGGAAGAATTGAGCTCTTGATGGCGGGCTCAATGATTAAAACGAGCTTGCTTGGGTTCTTCTGCGTGCAAGCGTACCCATACAGGCAGTTTTTAGGTCTTCCCATTATCAAGGCAATTTTTATAGCCTACATGACCCCCTTCAAAATTTTTAGACCTAAACCCGGTCGTGTGTAGTCTAGAACACTTTGAACAAAGAGGATCACTATTCATTAGTGGGCACGTGCACCCTAGATGGGTTGGTTTGTTTTGGGCGAGCTTAGGTGACAGGCAAGTTCAAGCAACAAGCGAGCAGAGTTAGACGGGCGGGCTCAAGTAGCAGACGAGCTCAAACTGCTGGCGAGCTTAATCAACAAGTGAGCTTCACATGTTAACAGGCGACCTAAGTTATGTAGGTGAGCTTGAGAGACAGGCGAGCTCGAGAGATGGGCGATGTTTGCTCTCGCAGGCCGAGGGTCCAAAGTAGTGGTGGGCACGAGCCATGTGTTTTGTGGGCGGAGCCTTGTGCTTGCCAGCTGGGGCAGCGTGGGTGTGTCAGGCCATATTAAATGCGATTTGACAAGGCGACCTCATTTTCACACACCTCGTCTGATGACGAATCATGGCCATTGATTTCAATAACCATCTTTTGAGTTTGGCCGTTGGATCAGCCATGAACCGCCTCTTGGTTTGGGTTTCGGATTCGATCCACCCGATCCGCTCCCTGTTTCGATGGTTCGTCTGTAACTAACAAACTCAAACTATCGAGAGCAATCTGAACCGTCGGTTCTGATCGTGGCAACGCCTCTCAACCGTCGGTGTTTTGTCTTTAAATAGGCTTCATCTCCTTCCTTGGGAGACTACTGTGCTTAGCGATTTTTACTCGCTCAAATCCTTTAGAGAGAAAGAACTTGACTTTCATCGGACTTTTCTCGTCTCTCTCTCTTCGACACCGACATGGCGCCAAAATCCAAGAAGTACGTTACGAGGGGAAAGGGTCCAAGCCACTCTTCCGGTAGCGTCACTGCCGGTACCGCCGCCAGTGCCTCTAGAACATACTTAGGTAAGTCCCGGGGGTTGTGGGATGACCTTGTGTTGATGAACGAGGTAGAAGTGAGAAGATGAGTAATGTTTGCTCATCTTCCTTAGCGAGCTTTGCCATTTTAGGTGATGTTCTGTGATTTCAGGCGAACTTGGCCCTTGTCAGGTGAGTTCAGCCTTTTGTCAGGCGAATTCAGCCTGTACCAGGGGAGCTCAGCCTTTGCCAGGTGAATTCAGCTTTCACCAGGCATATTCAACTTTTATCAAGCGGGTTAAGCCTTTGTTAGGTGAACCCGAAACTTGTCAGGCGAAGTTGACTTCGTCGGGCGAGGTTCATGCTTTTGAGCCAGAATTTTCTAATTCTCTTTGTTTTGTTTTGTAGATGCGTTTTCTGACGAGGCCCTCCTAAAGGGTATTGCCATTGTTCTTACTGGTAGCACGTGCTATGTAGCCCCAGTTCTTGTTTGGTGATGCTGTGATTGACCCTTCAGCTCTATTGCTTAGAGAGAGCAGCTGGCTCCGAGTCACGGACGGGGTCCACTACTACATTCCTAGCATGCCGAGAGGGTTCTTAATTATTGAGATGCACTCGCTTTCGGATCCAAGAATGATGAATTAGGATCTGACCCCTATTCAAGATGGGGTGATTTATAGGGTCTTTAATAGCTCTATAGCTAGATATAGGGTCGACAGCTCCTGCAAGCGTGTGACTGCTCTGCGTCCAGGCCTGTTATAGAACGAGTTAACCGTGGGGGAGATGACTACGGTGGCAGAGACCTTCCATCATTGCTTCTTCCACGCTAGGGGACAATTTCCCTCGAAGGATTTTAGGGCTCCGGGGTGGATTTATTCTGCATCTGGCAGCAACACTTAGTGGTCTAAGATCACCGAGTACATCTTGGCGGAGAATTCTGATCTTGAAGGGTCAGAGTTGTATGTGGCTATTAGGGCCACCTAGCACGGCCTGAAGATTAATGCTCCCCAGTTCCAAAGTATCTTGGAATTTTACTGTCTGAATAGCGACACATTCTTTACACCCAACATTGAGTTGGGCATGACACTCCACGAGATGCACGATGTATCAGGGTTGCCATTGGGAGAATTCCCTTATGAGGTGTACGTGCCGGGTCAGTATGAGATTGACTACCTCTCGGCCAAGTTCTCTCAGGTGGTAGAAACCCTATGGGAGCTGCTTGACCACTATCATATATGCCTAAATACCCTAGAAGTAGTGGATCATAAGGGTAAAAAGAAGAGGGCTCTGGGGATCAGCCATAAGTATTGGGTTGATTACCTGTTCCCTCACAATGATGTTAAGGGGAGGCTCATCTTGCCGTTGGCAAGTGCAACCAGACCGAGGTGGAGATGAGGATATCAGAAGGTGGGGCTACAAAAATCCTCGAGTATGACGAGGGTGGGTTCAAGGTAGGGACGATCTTCGAGTCATTCCACCATCAGGCCAAGTCCCCAATATCATCAAAGGCTTTGCTCGATGGGTACTTCATGTTATGGCTAAAGAGGTGAGTGGTCCCCACCCATTATTTCGAGGCGATCCTAGTGGAGGTCCTCTACCCAGTGGTTCGCTTGGCTTACGAACGGTCATATGCATTGCTGCCGACGACAGTGGCATGCGTCTAGAGAGGGCTCTACATACTAATGGCCCAATTCTGTCGGGTGTCGTATGTTGATGAAGGGGATGACGAAGTCATCAAGACTCCTAACCCTCAAGTCAGGTTGCCGTACACCTATCTAATTGCATGGTTCGTCTATCACTAGCAATGTTTGATGAGCGTACAGGCGGCTCTTCAGGAAGAAGGGTTCATCTTGTTCATCCAACGCCTGGATAAGTGCACTTGGAAGTGTAAGGACATCTCCGATATGAGGAAAACATCGACCCATTTTAGCCATCATAATTTCCACCGTTTTTCCCCTTATTTCACCGGTGGAGGATACAGTGAGGCCCTTCGAGACACAGCGACGGCAGACCAACACACTGCACTTTCCCGCGGTGCCTTCAGATGTCTGGTTAACATCCGACCGGGGTACCATGTCCTACGGATAGGCTCCATGTATTATCTGGATCCGTACATTCCCTACAGGTTTGCCTGTCAATTTGGGTATAACCAGTTGTATGTAGGGAACATTAACCCTTATTTGCATTACGAAGGAGGGCTAGTGGACGGTGCGTGAGGGTGGTTCTGGACCTACGTAGGTTGCTACCCTTATTTGCATTACGAAGGAGGGTTAGTGGACGATGCGCGAGGGTGGTTCTGGACCTACGTAGGTTGCTCTAACGCGCGCTCCAAGCTGCCAGTCAGGGATCATGACCTCCATCATACACTTACCTATTGCCGGTGGTACCGGCGCACCAGCATGAATCCTGAGGGCTTCAAGCTGCCAGTCAGGGGTGCCGCTCGAGTGTAGCTCCCCATGCATTAGGATGGAGAGGTCGTCAGGCTGTTGAGGAGTTGTTTGAAGATATTCCCACTAAAGACACCGAAAACCTTTATGCATGTTTAGGCAAATTCGGGACATTTGATGCCCAAGCCCTGCCTCTTTTCACTCAGTTGGAACCTACCGATGAGCAAGGGGTGTTTGATGAGATGGTCCAGGTGGGGGTGTGCCTGGAGCAGGTCCGGGAAGCAGTAGCTAGACACATGGGGATGCTCGCTTTTACTCCTGGACGCTTGTTTCCTTCTAAGCGATAGTGGGAGACCGAGGCTGGCAGCTCAGGAGGGGAGGCGACTAAGAAAGTTCATCACGAAGAGGCGGCAGAGACCACCAAAATAGCAGAGGGCCAAGTCATGGCTATTCTTGAATCGATTCCGGGGGTAACTGCCTCTGTGACTGAGGCCACTATGCCTGCTCCAGTCATTGTATCGGGGATGATCCCGTTAGCTTTGAAGGTCACCCCATCGACACTTGTTGTGGGGCAGCAGGCGAGGATACTACATGCTCCACCAACTATATCGGGAGGTAACCTTTTAATACTCTATCTTTGAGTACAAGGTTGAACTTGTATCACCTGACGTTTGTGTTGACCTAATGCAGGCATGGCGGAAGGGGCAATCCCAATTCTTTCCACCGAAGAGGAAGGAACAGAAGATGAAGAGGAGCTTGACGATTCAGGTGAGAGTGACATTGAGCTTCATCGATCCGTTGATGCTAACTCACTAGTTGAGACTTTTATAGTGGTTGTTGCTGACACTTCTTCCATATTTGTAGCTGACTTGACGTTCAAAGCCACTGGTAAAGAGGATCCTCCCTCTAGGACTGATTGGTCGGCAGGGGAGGAAGATGAAGGAGAGGAACAAGAGGACGAAGGAGAGGATGCTTTGACCCACGGGGAGACGTCAAGCCAGGAGGATGAGGCATTGGCTCATGAAGAAGTGCCAGCCCAGCAGTGGGAGGCCCCGATTCCTGAGAAGACGTCGGTTCATGACGAAGCTCTAGCCTAGTAGGCGGAGGCTCCAACTCAAGAGGAAATATCCACCTAGCTGGTCATCATTTCATCGTCTCCTACTTTGGTGACCGTTGAGGCCACTGTCGAATCCACTGTCAGGACTATAATGGTGCCGTCAGGGCCCTTGGCCTTAGCGGTGTCTATCACCACTCCCGTCATCATGGCCACCAGCGCCTTGATCGTAGCCCTAATGATGACACTTCTCACCCGTGGCCTGCTCTCGTAAGAGATCAGTGGATCGAGCCATTGCCAACTTCCAAGACACCCTCACTGACAGCATCAAGCTCCATTAGATGGAAGCTTTCCTTTCGAGGAGTTCAAGGTGATCCTTGACTTTCACATAGCTTTCTTGATCAAGATGCTTGGCGCATCCGCTGTCGCTCCGTATTATGAATGCTTAAGGAAGGCAGAGCCGACTATCCAAAAGCTACTCACCCTCCGTGCCATGAGTTCTAACATCATCCACCTTGCATCCGACGAGGTTTAAATAGCCTTGAAGGAGCAAGAATGTATACTGGAGGAGAAGACGTCATTGGAGACACGGCTGAAGGAGGAGCTGGAGCGCGTTATCGCTGAGGATGAGCAGGTGGACGAAGAGTGTCACAAGACCAATTCTAGTATATCCAGCCTGACAGTGGAGATAGCGAAAGTTAAACAAACCATCACTGAGGCACAAACTATCCTAGTTACTAAGGAGAAAGCCCGTGAACAGCTGATGGAGCAATTGGCAGAGCTCAAGTCTCGACAACGACTAGTCGCTGATAAGATCGAGGAGAGAGACCGAGCCCTCAAGGAGGTGAGGACCGACATCCAGGACTTACTCTCGTGCTCTGAAGAGGACATCTATAAAGAGGTCCTGAATAGGCTCGAGCATAAGCACACACAAGAGATCCGGGAGGTGGAGTCGCGACTGAAGATTTGTAACTTTATTTGAGTGTATCGTTGTATCCAAATCTCTCATTATGAATGAAATTATGTTTTCTTTTCAAGCATCACTCTCTGTGTTTCATTCATATGCATTTTTTCTTTTTGTGGGCTAATGCCTAGGTTCCTTTGGTAAGTTTGCGGTAGGTGAGCTCGAGTCACGTGCGAGTCCAAAATAGGCAAGTCTTAGTTGCGGGCAAAATTCAAGTGGGAGAGTTCTAGCCGCATGCGAACTCCATTGAGTGAACACAAGCCGTAGGTGTGCTTGACTTGTGCAAGTCCGAGTTTTAGGCGTGCTTGAGATGGGCTCAAACTGTGGCCAAACTCCAATTGAGTTCAAGCTCCAAGTGAACTCGGGACGGGGCGAGTCCTAACTGCAGGCAGACTCGAATAGAACGAGTTAGAATCATCTGGCAAGTCCAAGTTGTAGGCAAGCTTGAGTCAGGCGAATCACGAGCTATCAGGTGAGATTAAGTCGTAGGCGAGGGCGAGCTCGAGCCGAAGGCGAGCTTGATTCGGGTGAGCCACGTGTCAGCCTGTAGACCTGCCTGCTTGCCAGTTAGGATAACGTCGGCACATCGTTTCGTGTTAAATGCGGTGTAATGGGAGGTCTCATCTCCCACGCCCACTGTTGTATCTCAACCGCTCACACGAGATACGGCCATTCGATTTGATCTGTCTGATCGCACAGTGAGTGAGTGCTCTGAGTCGTGCGCTCTGCAGGCAAATCTCTACTGTTGAGATATTGCCTATATATAGCGTTCATCTTCCTTGTTGGGAGATCACAACATTTGCTATTTTTCTTAGAGAAAATCCAAGCTCTCTCTGTTCGTCCTTTGTGCATCGAAATAGCACCGCGAACCAAGGTACCCGTTTCGAAAAAGAGAGAGGGGTTCTTCTTCTTTCGCTAACGTTGAGGTACCGCTCGAGGTATTTTCTCTACTGTTTTAAACCGCTTTGGTAGGTTAGGGATTGCATGACTTGGGAAGAACAATTCTTGCTCATCTTTCGTGGCGAGCTTCGTCGCTTCCGGTGGGGTTCGATGTTCAAGCACATCTATTTGTCAGACGAGTCTCGTACCTTAGGCGAGCTTCGGCCTCTCCTAGGCGAGTTCCACCTGAGAGGTAGGCTCTGTCTTCGTTCACTCTAGGTGAGCCTTGCTCTACATGTGAGCTCGTCTTAGTAGGTGAACTTTATTGACCCACCAACCTTCAAGACTTGGACATATTTCAATCGCTTGGGTAGAAATCTCTGATCTGTTTGTTGTGTTGCGTAGCTCGAGAGGGGATGCCTGGGGTCAGGGCGCCTGCTCCTGAGCCTATCCTCCTCCCTAATGATGAGTCAGAGGGGACAGCCATCGCATCCGCCTCTCAACCTGTCCCTCCGACTGGGTTAGAAACAGGGTTCCACCCCGAGATTTTGTCTATTGTCATGCTTGCTCGTGGCTAAGAGCCTACTTCTCTAGGCTCTCTCTTCGTACAGGCTCACCTTAACGAGCTGGAGAATGCTACCAAGCAAGTGATCTTGATCGTAAGTCTCGGTTGGGGGACTTACGTAGATCTTAAACAATCTCTCCTAGACCGTACGGTTGACCTCAGACGTTTGGGCGAATCCCACCTTTCGATGCGCTACACGATGAGGCTCCTAAACATGGAGTCACATCTGACATGCTTGGAGAACCTACTGTAGGCGGACTTGGGGCGCGAGATGGAGCAGCTTGTGGCTCAGGCTTGGACCCGGAGAGCATGGGAGCAGGAGGTGCGGGCGAGGGACATAGCTGACTTAGAGTCCCACATTGCTCTTTTAACCATCCGACAGTGCTTACTACAGGTCAATATAGATGCTTCTGCCTCCACCATCACTCGTATGAGGGCTGATCTGGCTCAGGAGGAGGCGACTCTGAGGGGACTCTAGTTCAAAGATAAGAATATCCGTAGATCTATCATAGAGGAGACCCAAACCCTTCAGGCGATGCGCCAAGGGAATGCTGCTACTGTCGCAACCTTCGACGTCAGGATCCAGAGGGAGGTGGAGGATCAGGCTCAAGAGAGCCTTGCAAAGAAGATAGCCACTGCTAAGGCGGAGCTTGCATCCTTTAGCTTGCTAGATTGAGCTTGTAGGGCTAGGGTAGTTTTTTTAGGCAATTTGGTTTGTTTTGTTTCGAATACAATGTTATGCCCTATTTGACTGTATGGTCATAACTTTGTTTGAACGTATTGTCTAAAAACTTGTTGATGAATGAAGTTTATGCTTTCTTGGTTTTCTAATGTATTGCGCATATACTCCTTTTTGTTGTTTATTGTTTCCTCTCGTTGTCCAACACTTAGGTTCTTCAGCAGGTTCACAATAGGTGAGCTCGGACCGTTGATGAGCTTGAATCAGAAGGATTCAGGCCATGGACAGACTCGAATTAAGCAAGTTCAAACCATAGGCAAACTTATACTAGGCGAGATCGAGCCGTGGGCGAACTCAAGCTTGGCGAGTTTGAGCCGTAGGCGAACTCAAGTTCGAGCCATAAGCGAACTCAAGCTAGGCGGACTCTAATGTAGGCGAGTTCCATTTATCAGGCACTTTGAACCACATGCGAGTTCGAGGTGTCAGGCGAACTCGAACGTAGGTGAGTTCCGAGATGGTAGGCGAACCACACGTCCGTATGTGGCCTACGTGCTTGCCAGCTAAATGCGAAGTGGTGTGGCGCCTTACCTTCCGCACTCAATTTGAACAGTTGGTCCAGAATCCTGAGAGCTGTAGCGTCCGTGGTCATCAAATTCAAACTGCCATGAGCAATCTGAACCGTTTGCTTCAATCGGGCTCATGGATCTTGACCGTTGAGACCCGATCTATATAGTGCATTCGCCCACCTCTTGGGAGATTATTCATGCTCATGAAGTTCTTTTTAGAAACTCGAGCTTCTCTCTCATTTTCAGAGTCGAAGATGGCCTCGAGGATGAAGCGGTGCGCTTCCAAGGGGACGAAGAGGGCTTCGACCTCCATCACTGCCGACGTCGCTGTAGGCGTCAAAAAATGCTAATAGATATCCCAAGCATAGAGAAGATCACTCAAAAATTCACAAGAAAGGATTTCATACTGTTTTGGAAAAATCAAAACAAGTATGAACTGTCTCGCCAGCGAGACAGTCTTTGCTGTCTCGCCAGCGAGACAGTGTTGAAATAGTCAAAACTACATTTGTAACTGCCCTACACGTGTCCATTAACTGCCAAGGGACGTGGGAAACATCATGGGCGAAAATCACGTGGATAACTGCCAAAATAACGGAGTTTGAAACGTGGGAGAACAGTTACAGCGAGAAACTGCCATTTTCCGAGACAGCATTTACTGTCTCGCTGAGCGAGACAGCAAATTTACTGTCTCGCGGGTCGAGACAGCAAACGCTGTCTCGCCCAGCGAGACAGTAAACACTGTCTCGCCGTACTGACTTCTTCGATTGTTAAGTTTTTGCAGTTACTGACCCTTGAGGCTATAAATACCCCCCTAGGGTCACTTCTGACGAGGATCGAGCATTTGTTAGAGCATTCCAGAGCAGAGAGAGAGCAGATTTGAGTTCTTTTCTTGCAACGCCTTGAAATTAAGCTTCGACTTGATTTTAAGAAGAACGACTATCTTACTTCGATAAGATATCGTTTCAATTTCTACTTCGATAACGAAGTTAGAATCATAAGCCCCCTCTTCACGATCTGTGAATCGGCGGTCCACGAACCAAAGCGTTCCCGGCACAGGCAAAGTCCCACGAAAACGAGAATTGATAGACGATTTTCGTGTTTGTTTCTCAAGAGTTGTAATTTTTGTTTTGTTGTGTAGAAAAAGTCTTATAAAAAGATTATTCTTTCGAATTTGTTGTAATAGAACAAAGTTATAATGAATTCCACAGCAGTGACTTTTGAACCAAACAGTGATCGAATCTCATCTCAGCAAAAGAGTATTCGGAAATTACCGTGGGGATGTAGTGTTTATCACTTTGTTTATAATGATCGGGTTATCCCTAAGAAAATTACATATAACATTTTTCCAAGAACTTCCCGTTACATGAACCATCCACCCCCAGCTTTTCTTGCGAAGCTGGGTTTATCATCATGTTTAGCTGTATGATCGGGTTATCCTTAAAAGTACCATGCATGGCATTCTCCAGGAACTTCCCGTGAAAGAAAGGAAATAGTTTAGACTCATATACCTGTTGGAGTATTAAGGAGCAGTTTATACTCGTATACTTTTCGGAGTGAGATGTATTTACATATGAGAGGGTTTAGCAATTATTTTTAAGAGGGATATTCATCAAATTTTGCTAGAATTGGGGGAATAATGTTTTGGCTGTTAATTTTGTTGTTAATTTTGCTAGAATTGGGTAGGATTAGTTTTTATTTTGTACAATAGGATGAATAATGTGATTTGGGAGTTAGGGTTTAGTAATTATTTACATATGATGAATAATAATTAGGGGTTTTGCCATTATTTGGAATTTATTCAGATATTAATAGATTATTTGCATATGATGGACTGTGTATTTTCAGTTTCGATGACGAACTCCATATCCATTATTTGTTTCTTTAATGGGAGCCTCGGCGTCGGAGAGGATGAACTCCTCTGTAATAGGATCTCTGCAATTCATTGCTTTGCCACGGAAGCGCTTGACAAAATCGTCGACTGGCTCTCCGTCTTTTTGCTTCTCATCTAAAAGGGTTCCGACTGACACTTCGGTATCATCATCGAAGAAGTTGCTGAGGAACAAACTTTCCATGTCATCCTAGCAATTGATGCTCCCTGGCCTGAGCCGTCGGTACCAATCGAAGGCGGCCCCACGAAGGGTGCCAACGAATGACCGGACCATTAAAGCCTCGTTTCCAGAGATCATGCCCAAATGAGACTTGAAATAAATCAAGTGCTGAATCGGCGAACTCTTCCCTTCAAACGGTGTGAAGTTAATCAGATTGAACTTCGCCGGGTACGGTATTGAATCTCATTCCCTTGGATAAGGACATGGAATACCCGTCTTCTTAACTTCTTGAACCGTCATCAAAGCATTGATTTTGTTTTCAAGCTCTTGCATTTTCTTGTCATCGTCTATGTCTTCATTCGAAGGACGTTGAGGAGAATGAGTTAGACCACCCCCTGTAAGAGGTGCCATTGAACCACCCCTAATATCGTTATTGGGAGGATGTGTTAAACCACCCCCAGCGTTATTGCTATTAGGAGGTGTATCAGCCATAATGACTTCATCCACTTCTGGATCAATGTCATCTATAACATTCTGAGTGTGGCGGATGGATTCAGCTTGCTGACTGGACTCAGGAGGTTGAGGTTGTTGAGTTAGAAACTCTCTCATTTGTTGAATAGCTAACTCTATCTCTGTCTTCATCTCAGCTCTAATTTCTTCACGTTGCTTTGTTAGAGCTTCCTGAAGCATTTGAGCAAATTGATTAGAGGTGATCGTGAGTACTTCTCTAGTTTGTCCTGTGCTAGACATTGTATCATCAGAAGCGATTGCAGAACAAGTGTCCGAGAATTCATCCTCCGAGGACATTCCTTCTTGCATTCTTTTGTAATCTCTGCGTCTGATGGCTCCTAATTGGAGTCGAGACATCCTTTGAGCAATTCTTGGATTGACTTTTCCTTTCGGGGAAAAGTCGGGATTTGAGTCACTTGAATGCCGCTTAGACTTTCTTTTATCAGCCACGTTGATGGTGACTTCAGGGAATTCATCATCTTGGGCAGCTGATTTTCTCTTGCAGAAATGCCTCGGCTTAAGCTTCGACATTTCGGTGAAAAGACTGTGGAATACCGAGACTCCTCGTGGGATGGCTTCTCGTTTTGTGTAGTTATATTCCGACAATGCTGCTTTTATAAGTCGTACACAAGAACAATGAGAGCGAATAATTCTCTTTCGAAATTTATTCACATCCCCAACTTGATAATACGATTCATCGGTATGATTGCCAAAAAATCGTATCGTTTGTTTGCATGACCTCCCAGGTATGACGATGTCTTTTGGTGAATGCGTCTTCTTCTGGGGTTGTAAAACCTTGTTGGCATTCTCAGGACAATTTATTACTGTCTTTGAGCGATCCAAGGTTATGTCGGGAGTC